GGATAAATGCTACAAAAATATGCATATATGTTTATATACATTGAGACAGTAGTTAAAGGAAGCTTCTTGTCCAGAAGGAATATTTTGTGTCTAATTTTGGGGTGACTCTCCAGGTGATAATGATGTTGTGTTTGGTGGCAGCTTGTCTGGCAGAAGGAACTTGTATAGGGCTTTTTACATGGAATCTGGAGTGAGTATAGTTTTGTGGACAAAAGACTTTTTACATGTGCAGCACACAAAAGACATGCATGTGTCATCTGATGCACTGGTAGGTTTGATGTCTGACAGAAGCCTCTGTAATGCTTAACACAAACAAATGGCTTCTCACTGCTCTGTCTTCTAAAAAGTGACAGATACCTAAAGATCTTGGGATAGTTCTTACATTTCTGGATCTTTCTTAGTGTTTCCCACATGTGCTGTTTCCCTTCACCCCCACACAGGGAGGCACAGGGAGAACTTAGCTGGCTTGAAAAGAAACCTGATCACACCATCACGGGGACGCCTTGAAAGAAGGTGCCTCCACTTCATGGGATTTGGGCTGTTCTGGAGTTGTGTGGGTTCTTGTAAGAAGCATCTTCTTCTATCTAAGACACTTCTCTTTCTGCATGGTGAGAAGTAAGATATGTGGTTCCCTTGGGTAGTCGTACTGTCATTTTCTTCAATAGTTTTCTGGTAATTGCTGTAAACCATCTTCATCTCATTTCTAAGTGGGAGCCTTGCGGAGTCTGGAAGGGTAACCTTGTAGTCTTTCCTGTTGGAGTTTCTGCTGACATCTGTTGCTTGAGATGAACACTGACTTGAGGGCATTCTCAGACAAAAGGGCTTCCTGTTCCTGCTTGTGGACAAGGACTATGAAGAGCTTCATGAAGTCTTCAGTTAGGTCTTCCATTCATTTCTCAAGGTCTCTTCCACTTAGTTCCCACGTCTCTTTAAAAGTGACTTATCCAGGACTGGAGAGATGACTCAGTGGTTAAGAGACTGGCTGCTCTTGCAGAGGACCCGGGTTTGATTCCCAGCACCCACATGGAAGCTAACAACTGTCTGGAACTCCAGTTCCTGGGGATCTGATGCCCTTTTCTGACCTCTGTGGGTACTGCACGATACTGGTGTACTTACATCCATGCGGGCAATACACTCACACACATAAAATAGAATAAAAGTAATAAAAATAAAATATTTTTTAAAAGTGACTTATCTTTGCAGTATGTACTGATAGTAAACTATTCTAGGACAAAATGAGAAATAATTCCATCGTTGCTATGCTTTTCTAGCCTCAACCATGAGTGAAAATATCAGTCGTTGCAATTTACTTTACATGTGTGCTCTTGTCATGTTAGAACGAATTGACCTGAGTGCTTCAGAACTCAGGGATCTCCTTTCCTTTCTGGATAGCAGATCCTTAGATCAATTTAAAGTCTAGATTTTCTTTTGTTAAGTTTTAAAATCTTATTTATTATTTTTATTTTATGTGTATACATGTGTTGCCTGTATGAACACAGGGGCTGGGATGTAGCTTAGTGGTAGAGACCCTGCCTACCATGCCCGGGGGCCTGGCTTCAAACTGCAGTGCCACCACTACCACCAAAGAATAAAACAAAATTTAAAACCAGAAATCATTTAAAATAAAACACAAATGAGCACAAGTTTACTTTTCCCACAACCCTTTTTGTGCCACCTCTCCTACTTATCCAACCACACAAGCCACCCTAGGTTTTTCTAGTTCCAAATGTTCATTTTGCAAAAAACATTATCTAAGATGATAATTTTTGTAACATTGCAATTGAACACTGTACACATTGCGTTTGTCTTTTAAAAGATAAGTAATGAATAGTGAAGTGAAAGAGTGTTCAAGTTTTACTGCTGGTCCTTGGAGGTTAAATACTGACAACGTGGACAAAGTTTTCTTTAAACAGCTAATTTTACTTATTTTGAATTTTTTTGGTTCAGGGAGAGTCATCATTCATAGATCTTAAGTCTTGAAAGAGCGATGCTATCATATATGGAATTTTATCTTTCAGTCTAATGAGCATGAACTGATTAATTTTGCATATAAAATATTTATCAGCTGGGCTTGGTGATATAAGCTACTCTGGAGGATGAGGCAATAGGGTCAAAGTTGCCCTGGTCTACACAGTGAGTTCAAGGCCAGCCTGGGCAACTTGGTGAGTCCTTGTCTCAAAGTAAAAAATAAATAAGGGCTGGGCATACACCTTGAAGGTAGAGAGCTTGTCTAGAATGGACAGGCCCTAGATTCCAATCTCCACTCCTGAAAAAGATAACAAAAATAACCCCCCAACTCCAACAATAGCAATAACAACCCACAATCAGTCAGCATCGTTTGGCACGTTTTCTAAGGCCGTATTTAAGATGTGGCACACCAAACACTGAGGCACTTTGCCTTGTGATATTTCACGAGGGAAGGAAAATAACCGAAGGAACTAAAGTGTTCTTGTCAGAATCTGAACTCTTTTCTGCTTGGTTAAATAAAGTAATAAATTGCTTCAAATTCTGCTGCTGCGGGCTGGAGATGGAGCTGCGACAGAAGAGTGCCTGCATAGTGGGAACAAACGTTCCTGGACAGAAGCTGCACCTTCAGCTGAACTTTTTGCAAGGCTGATTGACTGATTTGAAGGTCAATGACTGTGGAGAGTTTGGAATGTAGTAGGTCCAGAGCCAAATTATCTTGGGCCACCTTTGGTCCTCCTTATAGCCATTTATTAGCCTCCTCTGTACCCGACCTAATGTCTTTGTGACCACTAAAATCATTTGGAATGTGCAAACAGAACATTAGTTTCTGACCAAGTGAAAAGCTAATACTGCCGCCGAGCATGTGGCCCTGTGACAGAGGTTCCCCTGCTTTGCTCTGACCCACCTTCCTAATGTTTCCACCAATGTAGTTGAAGATTTATGAAGACTTTTTGTTCTGCTACTACAAAAACTTCATGAAACTGCTTGACATTGGAACATGGAATTTGGGGTGACCTAAATCTGTGTCCTCAGGCCATGGTCACTCAGATTTGATTCCAGAATGAACTAGCTCTTATCACCTTTGATATGAGAATTGTTATTTACAAAGACAGTATATTCTGTCTTAGGCTCTGATTTCCACTCCAATATCCTACCCCCAAATTCCACTGCGGGTTCATGGATCATCATTATTCAGGACAATGAACACATGCCTCTTAAAACACCATTTTACTGACTGCTTCTCATACTGTGCTGATGGAAGTATAAAACCATTCTAGAAAAGGTGACTGTCAATATTTATCACATTTACAAATACATCTAGCAATTCTGGTAGTCCTACCACAGTGTGTATATGGTTTAGTACCACTACCGTTAAGGAAATATCAGGCAGGACATCCGTAGTGTACAAGATGTGGGTATTTTATTTAAGCTGCAGCCTGGTCCAGCAGGCTCAAGCTCCAAAATCTAGACCCCTGAAGGGAAGTAGCACATATTTTTTATACCTTAGGTATTGGGTTACAGTCAGGGGAAACTTACATATTGATTGGCTATCAGCGAAGTCCTAAAACCAGGCAAATGATTATAAACTCAGAAAAAGATGCTGAAAGCATGTTTTTAAAAAATCCCGCCTGAAAGTCATTGTAGAAGTCTCTCTCCGAGACAAACAGAATTGAGGAAGGACACAGTAAAGTGGTTCTAGCTAGCTGTATCAGCATTCTAACCACAAACTTGTCAGCTGAACCTTTGCTGACAGGGACAGAGAAAACAATGATTAACATCCATATTCTCCTTAAATATTCCATCAGGCTCTACATCACGGCTGCCTCGTTGTGGTTCCAGTTGCTGATGCTTAGTAAATGGCTGCTTCACCGGCACGGTGAAGAAAGAGCCTTTCAAATCTCATACTTGGAGGAAGAAGCTGGGTCTCCGTGAATTCAAGGCCAGTCCTCCCTAAATAATGAGTTCCAGGCCAGCCAGGGCTGCAACGTGCCATAAAACACAACCAACCAAACGATAAAAAACCCAAAACCCTGCTTCGTGGGCAGTAGCCGTTTTTTTCTGGTCTCCCAAGGTACAGGAAACACCTCGGTCAGCTCCAGGCTGCGGCTGGCCCTCCTACATCCCCAAGGGGGTAGTTCTCCTTCCCAGTTTGTTGTTTGAGACGGGTCTCCATGGTTGTCACGACGGGCCTGGACCTCGCCATGGCGAGGAGGCTTCTGCCTCCTGAATGTTGCGGTTAGAGGACTGTGCCAGCATGCTTGACACGAACATCTGTTTTATGACTTCTAACTATTGACTTTCTGCGTTGCTTGCATGCATGTAAGTGCTCCTGTGCCACGCAGCGCCCACGTTGGTCAGCAGAGGGAGCTGGTACCGAAGGCTGCCGGGCGGCACGGGGGTGCTGGGAACCCAACCCGGGTCTTCTGCGAGAGCAGCCCGGCCTCTTAACCACTGAGCATCTCTCCAGCCCCAAATTTTATGAGTTTCTTATAGCAAGATACTAAGGGATGATACTTCTCCTTTTAAAAGAAAAAGAAAGAATAGAAAAAAAGAAAATGAGGCGGTATGGGGAAACTCATTAGGATTTTCCGAACGCGGTCGAGGAGCCTCACAGCAAAAGCTCGACGCGCCAGCGTTCACCTCAGGAACGGAGGCGGCATCTACGGAGAGCCGCTCTCGGGAAGGCCTAGCCAGGGAAAAAGGAGCAGCGAGGCCCAGCTCTTCGGGCCCTCCGGGCTTCGGCAAGGTCTGAGGCAGGAAGCACGTCCCCGCTTCGGGCCAGGGGGTCCCAGACAACCCGCGGCGCGCAGCAGCCTCGACGCGTTCCCGCGCATCCGCCTTGGGGGCGGGGAAAGACCCGGATGGAACCGCCCTTGCGCCGGAGACCCTCGCTCCCTTTGAAAGGCCGAGCGGGGCGGGCTTCCCCACCGTTCCGTGTTCTGATTGGCTCCTCGCCGCCGTCTCCGCTTTCCGATTGGACGTCAGCAGTGCCCGTCACAGAGCGACGCCTTGACTCTCAGATTGTTGCTGCGGGGAGTAGGCGGTGGCATCCGCGGAGCCGGGCGTCCAGCTCTGCGGCCGTGGGCTGTGCGGTCGGAGCTCGTCCCGGCGTCTGGGCTGCCAGGCCCGAGAGGAAGCGCTCCAGGCGGCTGGAGGGCGGTGCGGGGCGGCCCGGGGAGCTGCGGTTGCCTCTGCAGCACCATGTCCTGGATCTTCAAGAGGTGAAGGGGGCTGAGGGGGTGGCGCGCTGCCCTGACGGCCTGGCGGCTGTCCCTGAGTGAACCTGACCTTCCGCGCGGTCCGTGCGGTGGTCGGAGGAGGAAAAGCATTGTCTGCCCGGGCCTGGGGAGGCGGGTCTGTGTCCCGGCCTCGGCCGAAGGCGGATGGTCTGAAGCCCAGAACCTGTGCCGAGGCCGGCTTCACCCCTACGGCCGTTAGCTACCCGCCCGCGCCGGGCGTTGTGTTTGCAGTAGCGGCGCCGACAGCGGTCCCGACCCCCTCACGGTTGATGTGCTTGAGCGTGCGGGTGGATGTTTGCGGAGGGGCCGGCGGGGGAGTCACGGAGCGGAGGGGAAGCAGCGGGTGATGGTCGTATCTGTTCTGGGGAGGACGGAAAGTTCCTGGAGGCTTCCAGCAAACACCCACTTCTCATCATCCTGAGTGGTGTTCATCCCCATTCCTGAAATCGTTATCCTTAAGGGAATTGGTGTTACCTTTAGACCAGCGGGGTGATGGAACGGGAAGGGGCGTCAGGTCAACCTCCTATGATGTCATAGTTTAGAGAACCCGAATTAAAGCGTGTTCTGTGAATCAAGGGAGTGGATGCTGGATGTATTCGTTATGTAAAACGTTGAAAAGCAGCTTCCTGTATGATAGTAGTGTCGTTTTTACAAATCTCTCACAGATGAGTTGCCTTTGAAAGTTTGGACCATAGAATTGTAGCTACAGACATCGCATACATTTCTATGTAAATAGATGATTTTCACCAAGAAAGGTTTGTCCGCCCTTAGTCTTCCATTTTGGATAGTGGCTAAGGTGTGGTGGTCTTAAGAGCCAGCGTTTAACAGGTCAGATTCCTGGAAGCCTTCCTCACTAAACTCTGGCTTTAGGCAGAGTAACTCTTGATCTGTTCATAGTCATTCCCACGTAATGTCATTCCCATTTTTCTAAATAAAGGGTAAAGAAACGATCTGTCTATAAACACAATTGATTATATGAGAAATACTTGGGTACATTTTGTAGTTTTTCTTTGCTTTTTTTATAGGGATCCTGTTTGGAAGTATTTGCAGTCTGTCCAGTATGGAGCCCATGGAAATTTTCCACGACTCTCATATCCAACTTTCTTTCCGCGTTTTGAATTCCAAGATATTATCCCTCCAGATGAGTTCCTAACCAGTGATGAAGAGCTAGATTCGGTTTTATTTGGAACTCTGAGAGGTCATGTTGTTGGACTACGCTATTACACAGGAGTAGTGAGTATAAAAGTAGATACTGAAGAAAACTGTTATGTTTATGGTTTTAACCCAGAAAACAATATTAGAAGGCATATGTGAAGTTAATATTTTAAGTAATTGAAATACATGTGGACAAGTGATAAAATACCATGGACTAATTTTTTAGATTTATATCATGTTAGCAGTACCAAGCACTTTTGCTCACACTGCCATTTGATCCTTAAAGTAACTGAGGTAATCTTCCAATTAGGAAGGTGAAGCTCTAAAAGGTTCAGTGGTTTTCCTCAAATGCAGATAATACATAATGAACTTAGGAAATGACTTGAAAATTCATCAGCTTTTCCTAGATAAGGGGATTGTTTAGTTTTAGGTCGTTTTATTTTGGAGTCTTTTAGAGACTGGGTCTGAGCTTTGTAGCCCTGGCTGGCCTGTAACTTGCTACTGAGACACCACATCTGGCCCTCTTTTTTTTTTTTTTAGTAACAAGAGTGTCTCCTGCCTTTTTCTCCTGTGTATCTGAATTGTATGTATTTGCGTGTGTGTGTGTGTGCGTGTGCAGAGAGAGAAAGAGAAGGGGACAGGTTAAGAATGTAACTTTCTCTGGACAGTAATCTTTATTAGGCTCATCTAGGATGGATTTGTTATTTGGATAATATCCTTGTAATGTTACAGAATTTATTACAAAAATTTCAGACACAAAATTAGAATAATACACTAGTGATTTAGATTCAGCAATAAGCAAATATTTTCCACATTAGCTTCTTTTCTTTTTTTTTTTTTTCTTTTGCTCTTTTATAAAAACAAATACCTAATGTATCAGCCATTTGTAACTCTAGTTCCAGGGGCTCTGACACCCTCTTCTGGCCTCCACGGGTATTATGTGCATGTGGTACACTTAGATACATGTGGGCAAAACAGTCATACACATAAAATAAAAATTTAAAAAAATTTTTTGCCAGGCATAGCACACCTGTAATCCTAGTACTTTAGAGGCTGAGATAAGAGGAGTATGAGTTGAGACCAGCCTGTGGTACATACTGAGTTCTGGGCCAGGCTGGGCTACATAGCAATACTCTATCTCTAACTAAATAACTCTTGTTCATGTTTACATTTTGTTTTTATTCTTTGTGCTATATATTTGTGGCTTATTTTTTAATTTTTTGAAACTATTTTATCTATATGAATGTATCGCCTACGTGTATATAAAGGCACCTGTGTCATGCAATGCCTGGAGAGGTGAGAAGAGAGCATTGGATCCCCTGGAACTAGAGTTATGAACTGTTGTTAGCTGCCATGTGGGTGCTGGGAACCAGACCCAGGTCCTCTGCAAGAGCAGCCAGTCTCTCAACCACTGAGCATCTCTCTAGCTCTTATTTTTAATTTTTTGTTTATTGGTCTTGATAAGAATCTTTCAAACAACCTCTCTCTTTAAAGTAATTTTTCTTGATTCAAAGATTTGTCTCGTATAATCTGGTCTACTTTCCTTAAGATTCCCTCCCTTCTTCCTTCCATTTCAATTTGAGCAATTTTAGGTCTGTTATTTTGAAGGGTAGTTTTCGTAGATATAAAATTAACACTTTTGCTGGGCATGGTGGCGCACGCCTTTAATCCCAGCACTCGGGAGGCAGAGGCAGGCAGATCTCTGTGAGTTCAAGGCCAGCCTGGTCTACATAGTGAGTTCCAGGACAGCTGGGGCTACAGGGAAAAAAAAAAAAAATTAACACTTCGAAAAACTGTTACACTTACTTCTGGGCTCCATGATTTCTTTCTTTTCCTTTCTTATTTTAAAAAAGATTTTAAAGCCAGGTGTGGTGGGGCATACCTTTTAAATCCCAGTCTCAGACAGGAAGATCTCTGAGATTGGTCTACAGAGCAAGTTCCAGGCCAGGTGGGGCTACATAGGAGAGACACTGTGTCTCAAAAAAAACAACAAAAAAAGGTTTTATTTATGCCTAGTGTGGTGGCCCCACACCTTTACGCCAGTACTCAGGCAGAAGCAGATGGATCTCTGGGTTTGAGGCCAGCCTGGTCTACATAGGGAGTTCCAGGCTAGCCAGGGCTACAGAGTGAGACCCTGTCTGAAAACAAAAACAAAAAAAGCAAAAAACCCCAAGGTAGTATTTTATGTGTATGAGTGCTTTGCCTGCTTGTGTATAAGTTCACCATGTGCATGCCTGGTGCCTGTGGATGCCAGAAGAGGGCATCAGATCCCCTAGAACTGAAAGTTCAGGATAGTTGTTAGTTGCCATGCAGATGCTGGGAACTGGATCTGGGTCCTCAGGAAGAGCAGTAAGTGCTCTTAACTCATGAGCCATCTCTCCAGCTATTTAAAAATTGTTTATTTTGTTTGCATATGTGTAATGATCAAAGGACAACTTGCAGGAATGGGTTCCAGAGATCAAACTGAGGTTAACAACAAACTCAGGTTGGCAGCAGGTGTCCTTACCCGCTGAGCCATCTACAGGCCCCTGGGTTTCATAATTTCTGATAAAAATGAGATGTTAATCCATTAAAGATCTTTTGTATATAAAGTACTTTTGTCTTGTTTTCAAGGTTTTTTTTTGTTTGTTTGACAGCTTGTTTGTGCTATGTGCAGGTATGTGTCTTCTCGCTCAAGTTTGTCTTACTTGGAGTTTGCTGAGTTTCTTATACACATAATTTATTTGTGTTTATCAAATTTCAGATGTTTTCAGCTATATTTCCTTAAATTTTTTTTTCTGCCCCTTTTTTTCTCCTGTGTCTCATTGTTTTTGTATCCTTGATGTTGAATCACATACTGTGGTGGTTTAAATAAATGTCCCCCATAGGCTCAAAGTATTTGAACATTTTGTCCCCAGTCGGCAGTTGTTTGGGGAGGTTTTAGGAGGTGCAGCTTTGCTGGAAGAAGCTGGGCAGGCACTGGTGGTGAGTTTTGAGATTATATAGCCAGGCCCACTTCAGTCTGGTGCGCTCTGCTCTGCTGCTTGTTCCTATTTGAAGATGGGAGAGCTCGGCTCTCTGGTCTGGGCACCTCCTGCTGCCCTGCCTCCTTGCCAAGATGGACTCCAATCCCCCTGGAGCCATAAGTCCAGTGAACTCTTCCTGCTATAAGGTGCCTTGGTCATGGTATTTTATCATAACAACAGAAAAGTAACTACCTAGTAAATGTACTGTCTCTTCTCTTCATGTTTTCTTAGCCTTTATTTCTAGTCCTCAGATCCTGTAATCCTGCTTGACCTATCTTAAACATTACTGATGGATTTAATATTTTCATTTTGAGCTGGAAATGTAGCTCAGTTGATAGACTCATTGCCTAGCCTTGGGTTTGATCCCCAGCATTACTCCAGTACTGGAATAGTAGAGAATGCTTGTAATCTCAGCACTCAGGAGATAGACACAGAAAGATCAAATTGCAGAACCGTCCTTAGTTCAAGATCATATTTGGATTCATGAGACCCTGGTGCAAGCAAGCAAATGAAAACCAAACCAAATCCCAACAACAGTAAATGAATGGAAATCTCAGATACAGAATGAAGTCAAGTTATTACTGCTAATATTTATGTTATTACTATCTATTCCTTTTACTAGGTAAATAATAATGAAATGGTTGCATTACAACGGGAGCCTAACAACCCCTATGATAAGAATGCGATTAAAGTAAACAATGTGAATGGAAATCAGGTTGGCCATTTAAAGAAAGATCTTGCAGCTGCTTTGGCCTATATCATGGACAACAAGTTGGCCCAAGTGGAAGGGTAATGTACTTGTAAAGTTTAGGCTTTTAAAAATATTTATTTTATTTCGTGTGTATGAGTGTATTGCCTGCATATATGTAAGTGTGCCCATGTCATGCAATGCCCACAGAGGTCAGAAGAGGGTTTTGGATCCCCTGGAAACAGCTGCCATGTGGGTGCTGGGAATCAAACCCTGGTCCTCTGTAAAAGTAGCCAGTGTTCTTACCCACTGAACCATCTCTTCAGCCCACTAGAGTTTAGTTTTAATAATTTTTCTTATCTGCCTCTCCTATTTGCCCCTGGAACAGCTGACCTCTCATTTTCCTATTGATTTATTACCATGGGGAAAATAAACTTGGGTTTACATGTTAGGAAGAATACTCCCATCTCCTTAAGCCTTTTTGGTACATGGATTTTGGAATGGGAATTAGGAAATGTTGAAATCAAATGTTGTAAATTGGTAGTTTCTAATTAGATGTAGGTGAGTTTTGTTTTACTTGCATACTTTTTATTAAAATATTTTTATTTTATATGTATGAGTGCATTGCCTGCATGTATGTAAGTACAGCTGTGTTGTGCAATGCCCATATTGGTCAGAAGAAGGTGTTGAATCACCTGGAATGGGAGTTATAGATAGTTGTTAGCCACCGTATGGATGCTGGGAATTGAACCCTGGTCCTTTGTAAGAGCAGCCAGTGCTCTGGTTGCTGAGCCATCTCTCCAGCCTCTGCATATTGTTTTTTAAGACAGGGTCTTTCTATTGTACCCAGCTTGACCTCACGGTGATCTTCTGCCTCAGTCTCCTTTTGAGTGTTGGGATTACAGGCACACAATAACACAAACGTTGGAAATGATGGGGTGTTTTGTTTCTGTTTTTGTTTTTGAGGCAGAGTACTGCATTGAATTCCCCTGCCTTAGCCTTCTGTGTGCTACACTTACAGGTGTTCACCGTCATGCTTAGCTTACCTACAGTGTTTTGGAGTTTTTCTTCATTTTTTACTAGAAATGAAATCTAGACAGTCTGTATTTTCTATATATTAATTTTCCTCCTAAATGCAAAACTCACTAAGGTTTTTGTTTTAATAAATGGTAGGTCTGGAAGTGTTGAACCCATATTCCATGATCTCAATTGACTGAGACTTTAGAAGTAGCTGTTTCTTTTGTTAGAGTCTGCTCTAACAGTTCTTTTCTCTTTTTTCTTCCCTCCACTTCCTCCCTCCTTCCTGTTGTTCTTTGGCTACTTCTTCTCATCTAGTGTTTGTGAATCTCATTGTAAATATTTAATGATCTTTCTACCCCAATCCTAATGCTTAGGATATTTGAGTTTGGGAGGTAAAATAAATAACTTTGTCTCACTTTCTTTTTTCCTTTTTCAAGTTTTTAAAACCTTAAGAATAAGTTTCTAGTGAATGTATGAATGCCGGATTAGATTGTTCTTTTCTGTTTTTGATAGGATCTTCTTAGTCCCAGCCCACTTGGAACTCACTATGTAGATCAGGCTGGCCTTGATTTCAGGGATCCACCTGCCTTTGCCTCAAGAGGGCTGGGATTAAAGGCGTGTGCCACTATGCCCACCAGAAGTAGCTGTTCTAAATCATTTCCCATTCTCCCAGCAGTATGAGTGACAGTCATAGTGTTTCGGTTAGCTAATACTCTGCCCTCCCAAATCACTGTACTATTTTGTTTCTTTTACAATCTATTGTGTAAGCTGTCCTTTTGAAGCTGCTTTATCCCACCATCTCAGGTTCTTCTGACATTTTGTTCTATGACAAAAATTACTTTTTCCTTCTGATTGTTGAATTTATTTCTTGTCCTTTTTCAATAGTACAAGTTTACTCAACTAGTCCCTTTTTTATTTCCTGTTTGAGTAGACTACTTGGAATGTTTAATAGATGCATATTGTATAAAAATAAATAAGTTTCTCATTTTTTTCCTTAACTACAATAGGGTAGTTCCTTTTGGTGCAAACAACACTTTCACCATGCCCCTCCATATGACTTTTTGGGGAAAAGAAGAAAATAGAAAAGTGGTTTTAGATCAGCTGAAGAAACATGGATTTAGATTGGGTCCTGCAACCAAAAGTAAGTTTGATATTGTAAGATGCAGGAATTGGAAAGCAGTTTTTCTCTGAGTGTGGTTGGTCAGCTTGTAGGTGCTGAAGGCTCCATGTTATAACTTTCTTTTGGAATCTTTAGAAGAAATTACTGACTTTTCCTTTGTATTTCTTTTTAAAAATATTGCTGTATTTTATGTGTATGAGTGTATTGCCTGCATGTATGTAAGTGCACTTGTGTTGTGCCATGCCCACCGAGGTCAAAAGAGGGTGTCGGATCCCTTGGAACTGGAGTTATGGACAGTTGTTCTCTGCCATGTGGGTGATGGGTCCTCTGCAGGAACAGCCAGTGCTCTTAACTGCTTGAGCCATCTCTCCAATTCCCTTATTTCTTTTCGAATACAGTTACATATCAGTTAACAATAGGGACAGATTCTGAGGGACGCGCCTCATGTGGTGATTTTTGTCATTGTTCAAACATTATAGATTGTACTCATACAAAATAAAGATAGCTAATTCTATGGGCCCACCCTTATATAGCCAAATATAAATATGACTGTAGATTTAGCCACCCAAAAATGCACAAGAAGGGTTTTTGTGCCTCTTTTAATTTTCCCCAGTGTTAACATCTGTAAATTCCTCATCTTACACATTATTTTTGAGAAATTTTAGACAAAAAATAAATCTCCCAATAGGGAATGAAAAAGAAGTGTTTAGTAAAAATTCATTCAAGAATATGCATTTATTTTTTTTAATGATTTTGTATCTAGGTCTAAATTACTTCTAAGGCTTGGAGATGAAGTTCAATCGTAGAGCATTAACATCAATTAAAAAAAATTTTTTGCTTTTTTTTTTTTGCAGTCCTGGGGTTTGTCCATACTAAGCACACACTGTACTCTCTACCTTCAGCTCTTAATGGAAACTTTTTTAATGCTGTTTGATATTTGAGTTTTATTTCTTTTGGTCATTTTATTGTTTTTATTTGGAAATTACAGCTTTAGGATTGAGTTTGGAGAATGGTTGGGGCTCTGCACGAGCTGGGCCAAGCTATAGTATGCCAGTTCATTCTGCAGTACAGATGACAACTGAACAGGTAAGGTTTTGGTGTGGGTTTCTCTTTTGAGTCAAAGTCTCAGTGTAGCCCAGATTCACCATGTGGCTAAGAAAGGCCTTGAACTCCTGGACTTCTGCCCCTTAATCTCTTGTCCCAGTGATTACAGTGTTTGCCGCCCCAGGTGTGCTTTTCTTTTCTTTTTTGTTTTGTCTTTTCGAGACACGGTCTCCCTGTAGCCCCAGCTGGCCTGGACCTCCCTATGTAGACCAGGCTGGTCTCAAACTCACAGAGATCTGCCTCCATCTGCCTCCCAAGTGCTGGGACTAAAGGCGTGCGCCACCATGCCCAGCTTTTGTATTTTAATCTAAAAATTTTAACAATAAAGGTTGGTGTACATGTATTGCTAAAATTATACTGAAAACTATTGTACAACAAACAGAATGTACATATTGCAAACATCATTTAAAAAGCAATGGTAAGGAATATAGTCATCCTTTGTAATTCACAGAAATTGCAAGATTCCATGTTATAATGACCCTTTATGTAAAATGGCATTGTTTTTGTACCTAACCTTTGTACCCCTATATAGTTTAAATAATTTCTATATTAATTATAATTACA